ATTACGAACACAGTCGAAGCGGACATTCGTCGCTACGGCGCTAGGGGGCGCAGCGATCGACGACCGAGTTTGCGAGGTTGGCAGCGCTGCACTTGCGGCAATGACGATTGGCTCAGATCATGACATGACGGATGACAAGTGTCATGGCGGCGATGTTGACGTTCTAGATGTAAACAAACCCGGAATTCTCACAAAACCAGTAAAGAGTGTAAAGTTATTGTGCGGAAACATAGCAGATGCGTTAATAGATTCAGGAAGCGACGTAAACTTAATTAGATTGGATTTTTATGAAGAAATAGGTTCTCCCGTGTTTAATAGTGAATGTGTAATAACTCTTACCGGATTAGGTCTTTCTAAAATTACACCAATTGGACAATTCCAGACAAATATTGAGATTGATGGGTATACGTATCGTGATGTCGTATTCTACGTTATTCCTAGAGACACTATTCCATTCAAAGTGTTAATTGGTCACGAATTTCTACGCAATGTCATAACGGTTATGAAAGGTGGATCTGTATGGATGAAACCAAATGATTGGTTGCGTGGTGTGGATTGTTGTGCGTGTTCTGTTGATTTTGTAGGTCATGTGATGGACCAGGACGTGAGAGAAGAAGTAGCAAAGTTAGTAGATTCATATAAGCCACAGCAAACTAAGGAGGCACCCATTGAATTGAAGATCATATTGAAGGATGACATACCGGTGGCTCAACGTCCTCGGCGCATCGCACCCAGAGAACAGGCAGAGGTAGACAAACAAATCAAAGAATGGTTGAATAAGGGAATTATTCGGGTAAGTTTCTCCGAATATGCAAGCCCACTTGTCTTAGTGAGGAAGAAAGATGGCAATTTGCGAGTATGTGTTGATTATAGGTTGATTAACAGGAAGATGGTTAAAGATGAATATCCGCTACCAATCATAGAAGAACACATTGATAAGCTGGCTGCTGCAAGGGTGTTTAGTGCCCTAGACCTCAAAAATGGATTTTTCCATTTGAGAGTTAGCGAAGAATCTATAAAATATACTTCCTTTGTTACTATGACGGGTCAGTACGAATTTCTAAGAGTTCCGTTTGGCCTATCTATCTGTCCCAAAGTTTTCACCCGTTTTATCTCAATAATATTTAGAGACCTTATTACTAGAGGTGTTGTTATAATATTTATAGATGATATATTAATTCCAGCTTTAACAGAGTCACAAGCTGTTGAGAGGTTGAGAGAAGTGTTGCAAGTTGCTATGGAGTATGGCTTAGAAATAAATTGGTCAAAGTCTCAGCTGTTGGTGCGAAAAGTGGAGTATCTTGGACATGTAATTGAAGGTGGAGCAGTTATGCCATCGCCAGGAAAGACCGAGGCGGTCCTAAAATTTCCTGAGCCCAGGAATGAGAAGCAACTGCTCAGTTTCTTGGGACTTTGTTCATATTTTAGGAAATACATCCAAAACTTTGCAACTATAGCGAAGCCTCTCACAGATTTGTTAAGAAAGGACAGGAAATTTGAGTTTCACGAAGAACATAGTTTGGCATTCAATATACTAAAGGATAAGTTGGCAAGTAAACCTGTTTTAAAGATTTATGATGCAAAAGCACCCACTGAGCTGCATACTGACGCATCTTGTGTGGCATATGCGGCTATACTACTACAGAAAGATGATAAAGGTGATCTTCATCCAGTATATTACATGAGCAGGCGAACTACTGATGCTGAAAGCAGATACACAAGCTACGAGTTAGAAGCCTTGGCTATCATTGAAGGAATTAAAAAGTTTAGACACTATCTTTTTGGAAATCATTTTAAAATAGTAACTGACTGCAAAGCATTTCAGATGACATTAAATAAAAAGGATCTGGCCACATCACCTAGGGTAGCAAGATGGATTATATTTCTGCAAGATTATGATTTTACTATTGAGCATCGTGAGGGATCGAGAATGAAACATACAGATGCACTGAGCCGAAACCCATTTGTCGCACCCATATTTTCAGACTTGCATAGTTCTCTGAGACGTGCTCAAGAGACTGACAATGGACTCAAGGCCATTAAGAATATACTGGAAGAAGAAAAACCATATAAGGATTTTTATTTGCAGGATGGATTGTTATGTAAAGGAAAGGAAAGATGCTTAGTTATCCCACAAAAGATGGAGGTGGAAATTATCAAGAGAGCACATGACAACGGTCATTTTTCAAAGAAGAAAACTATTGAATTGATAAGCAAAGACTATTTCATAACCCACTTGGATAAGAAAGTTGAAGAATATATATCTACTTGTATTCCATGTCTGCTTGCTTCACGAAAGGAAGGTAAACAAGAAGGATTTTTGAACCCCATAGAAAAGGGTGATACACCGCTACACACACTGCACATTGATCATATTGGACCACTTACCGAAACTCGCAAACAATATAACTATATACTCACAGTTATTGATGGCTTCACTAAGTTTGTGTGGTTGTTTCCGACAAAGAGTACAACTACTCAAGAAGTATTGAAGAAGCTGGAAATACATCAACAGGTGTTTGGCAACCCTGCAAGGATTGTCTCTGACAGAGGTACTGCCTTTACAAGCAATGATTTCATTGAGTATTGTAAGCAAGAGGGAATAGAGCATGTAAAAATAACCACTGGGGTTCCAAGAGGAAATGGCCAAGTTGAGAGAGTGCATCGGACAGTCATCGGGGTCTTGACAAAACTAACACTGGAGCAACCTACACTGTGGTATAAGTTGGTGAGTAGGGTGCAAAGAGCACTCAACAGCACGTATCATAGAAGTATCAATAATACACCTTTCCAATTGCTTTTTGGAACGAAGATGAGAAGGAAGGAAGATGTTGAAATATTAGACTTATTAAGACAAGAAGAAAGGGACAGCTTCATTGAGGATAGGGAAGAATTAAGGAAGAGTGCAAAGCAACAGATTTTAAAAATTCAAGAGGAGAATAAAAGAAACTATAACAAGAAGAGAAAGCAAAGCAGGAAGTATAAAGAAGGTGAACTTGTTGCTGTGAAGAGAACCCAATTTGGAACAGGCCTTAAACTCAAGCCGAAGTTTTTGGGACCCTACAAAGTGGTGAAGGTAAAGAGAAATGATAGGTATGATTTAGATAAGGCTGACTCACAAGCGGAAGGTCCTCACAGAACTACAGCGTCAGCAGACCATATGAAGCCATGGCCTGACTATATGAGTGATACAGAGTGAACATTTTTACATGTTATACTTACCTTGATTTGATGGTGGAAGGATGAATGATGTTTAGCCGTAATGTACTGTTTTTATGTGTACTTAGCATATTGCTGATTATTCAGTATAGTTGGTTAGTGTAAACAACATTGTATTAGTAATTATTGTAATCTGCTAACTGTTAGAGATGAGTTATGGTTGTAACCATGGCATTGTTTTATGGGTTCTGTTACCGAAGTTCTTAAGCATTTTTCATAATAATATTTTAACTGTTTTCAAGCATTTATCATAAGGATCTGAAGTATGTCACTATAATTAACATTAAAGATTTAGGTTTGTATGTTTAGTCTGAGGACAGACTAAGATCAGGACGGCCGAATGTGGGAATGGGATGTATCCAAACGTGTGATAGATTGAACTAAAGTGTTTTAGACGTGTATCCGAACGGCGCGAGTGAGATGATGAACGAGACAGCGAGAAAGAGAACGAATGAAAGAAGAAACAGACGAAAGACGTGACGGACGGAAGACGAGGTGTGAACTGCTACAATTTTGTTTTTTTTCATTTTGATTTTAAAAGCTGTATAATATAATAAAAGTCAAGAATATTTCCTGGCCGTTTCGCTGTTTCCAACACCCTACATATATATATTTTATATATATATATCACAGACTATACGTATACATAATAATATACAATACATAGGTACATATTATCATATTCCACGGAAAAAAAGTGTCGATAATAACCTATTGTGGAGAATCCGCCAATTTCTTCCGGATGTGATCTCGTAGTTTCAATTTGAAAGCGTTCTTACTATCTACCATCCTGACCTCCAAAGGTAGCTCATTCCAGAGAAGAATGGGTTTAACGAAAAAGGAAGAGTGCATAGTATCTGAACGGTGGGCAGGGCAGTGCAGAAGGCGATTATTTAGATATGTTGGTTCGTCATTCATATTTATTTTTATCAAACAATGAATAAGTTCTTGCATTATTTTATTCATTTTGGTTTGGTTCGTTCACAAGTGTTGTTTACTGATGCTCTTATCAACAGCGAGCTACACTCGGTGACGTTTTCATTTATTGAATAAACATCATGTACTTCACTAATTACTTATTTATGTAATGCAGTGTAATTAACTAGAATTCTGTATGCGTCCGCAAGTCTAGCCTGCACAGATTTGTCTAGAACTGTATTGACATCTTCGTGAAACCCACATAATTAGGTCTATTAAATTATGGCTATTCCTCAAGTGTAATTACAAATTAAATTTGACTAAGATTGTTTTATTGATATAATTCCGGTTTAGAGTTGTCGTAAAAGTTTGTTATCGTGTACGGATCGTAGAACAAACGTCACAAGTTTGAAGTTTTCGTGATATTTTTAGAATGCTAATTACGAAGTGTCTTCTTATATCTTCTGCGTTCGTGCGATTTAATCGCGAATCTTTTTGTTTTGTTTTTATAATCCAAAAACGGGTTACCTCATTTTGGTAATGGTGTTGAAATTTTATCTTTCTCGAGCGGTCAATAGAGGTCAATATTTATAATATGTGCCGTATTTGCCGATATGCGGGATCATCCCGGCTCCTCACCATATGTTTATAAAATCCGAAGGTATTATCATTACTCATGTGTTTTAATATAATTATTAATTATAAAATAAAGACAAGGTAGCAAAAGTCTGTAATCACTAGGTACAATTGTATTAATGTATGCAGAATCGTTTCTTAATTGTAGCGATTTATGTGTTTAAAATTGATATTATCAGTAGAGGATGGAGTTATACTTCTGAATGAATAACGTTCGAGGTGCGTATCGGTCCGAACGATGCGCGCGCGCCGTTTGCCGTGTTTCTGCACCCGCGTCCAGTCGTCCGCCGCGCGCGCACCTATCTACATTGCTGTCGCTCCACACTCGCTTCGAATCCGTCTCGTTGTGCACGCGTATTACCCTCCCCCGAAGTACTCGGCACGTGTACTTACTCTATCTCTTTCACGGGCAGCTCTCGCCCCGGACTTCCACGAACCTCGATAATGGGCCGATAAAGACTAATTACTGTGTGTAGTTTGCCATTTAGGAATCGAGTGACGAGTGACGGTTCGCGAGTGCAGTGTCAGGGCTGTGATGGCTGAGAATCACGCACTAATACCTGAAGCTACCTCGATGTATACTCAGACGAACATGAAGGAGTCTCACGACATATCGAAGAACTTGATGAGCGGTGATTTTGAGAGACAGTTTAGGGGTGCAATGGTGGAGAAGACTGACAGGCGGTGGCAGACATGGCTGATCACGCTGACCGTGGTGTTTGGGGCACTGGTGGCATGGCTGCTGGTGCTGACCATAGTTCGTGAGGTGCAGGTCCGACAGCTGCGTCATGAAGTAGACGAGCTGTCTGTCAATTTGATTGCCATGTCCGCCAACGTCAAGAGTCTTAGCCAGAAGATAGAAAAGAATAAACTGTTCAACGAGTTCAAGGATTTGCAGGACACGGTAAGTCCATATCACGTTTGTTTACTAGCGGATTACATGATTACAAAACCTCGTGTAAACATTCCAACGACATTGAACTACATTAACGCAAAGACGACAAAGCATAAAAACACACGTTGATATATTTTTAAATTGTAAATGGATCCATATTTTTATTTTCTTTTGGCTTTTAGATAGATAGGAACGCGTTACGTTTCGAGCGGATGTTTATTTAATCCCTCAACAACAGTGTTGTCAGGTAAAAATAATACAAAGGATAAAATCAATCCCATTTGGCCTTTTAGGCAGGCCCAAAACAGGACTAGCCGACTTTATTTACATTGGAAACTGATAAACAACATTTTACGGAATAGGTAATCAGGTTCCAGGTAAAGCGGCTGCTCGGGACGTGTCGAGAATGTCTTATGTAATTAGCGTAATATTATGATGTAGTGGATAACTCGTCGCCTCGCTAGCCATTACTCGGTGCTCAGAAGCTCGCCAGTTAGTGGCCAAGGTCTACAATATAAACACTCGTCGCTATTATAGTCAATTGACTGAGCAATGATACGATCGTTTGGCATGTCAGCAATTTAATAGACGACGAGGTTCAAGTGTTTTGTATCCTCAATACCCACGCCCATTTCGCGCACCAATAAAGTTTAGATGTTATCCAATACCTAATTTTCAATGTCCTTACGTCAGTTAAAATCGCAAAATTTGAGAAGGATATTGGGAGGACCTCTCTGCGGGTCTAGAGAGCACGAAACAGGTTTCGTTAACGCTACAACCAGTTACGAATGTAAACAAAAACGTGCCGGGCGACGCAGGCGCCGATCTTGCGCAACACGTATCATTTATTTATGTGTGGCATACTTGCACTAATTGGATGACAATTAAATCTTTTCATTAACGTCTTCTTCCTTCTTATGTATTTCTTGTTACAATTGTATTCGAAGAATTATTTTAGATTTAGCTACTTAGTCGTTGGAAAAGCCCACGATTCCAGTTAATGAAGTTGTATACTTAAACAATTATTTCGAGAAGGGATCTACTTTAAGACTTTAGTTGGAGTTACCGTTACTAAGTATGATGAGAAAACTATTTCGTTTCTAAGTCCATCTCAATCGTTAAGTTGTTCTAGATAGTCCTTGAAATGTGCTTGGCTACGTAAGTAAGTATTTAAAGTGGCACTAAAGCATTATTAACTAGATTTGGTTATTAGAATGGCCTTGGTAAAATCCATCTTGTTTCTATGAATTACTAGCAACGATACGTCTCAGCTTCGCACGGTTGGACATAGGATTTATTTAAATATTTATTATATTAGCAATAAATACAGACTATGATAATCAGTAGGATGAATGTAGCTGTTCAATGGTGATATTATTATTAAAGTCGACAGAGGAGTTTTTGAGATTATTTATTAGAAGTATACACATAAAAATATTATTTTACTCTTTATAATATAAGTGTACTTGTAGATGTAGATTATTTATTATAACAATAATAACGAGCTGGTGAGCTTTTTTCGGAGTTTGTAGGTAATTCTATTTCGTGAAATTAAAACAGTCTGTTCTGTGAGAGGCAGAGTGTATGGTACAGAGTCTTATTCAAAGTGCCTTGAGAAAACGCATTGACTACTAACAAACTAAAAATTTCAAAGAACAAAAAAAAATAAGTACAAAATCCGTTTAACTAAAACCAACAAAATGACCATTCATTGGTCAAGTAAACAAAATTAACGATAATGAGGCAGTCAATATAAATAGCAGCAGCACTCGACACTAAGAAATTAAACAGAACATAAAAATGCACGGACGTTTAACTTTTAACGGTTCCCACTCGACAGTTAACGAGATAATAACAATATTATTGGACTTTAAAGTGCTACCTCACGTGGATATAGTAAAATATTTATGTTAGTTTAATTGGTTGAAGTTGATGGGCTGGTGATGGACCACCCAATTTGGAGGCTAGAAAGAGAAATGAGATGAATGATTTTAAAGTGTGAAAGAGCCATGCTTTGGCACGTATGGGCTGGTTCGATCAGAGTGATGACAGAGAATACCGGCGTGGAACCACAGCGTTGTCTTTCGCCGTGTGAGTGAGGTTGCCAGAGTCCCAATCCTTCCACTCTCCTGATTATCCCCCTCCCCCCCATCGCTTAACCACAAAACTCTTGTCCCATAAGGCCAGCAATGTCTTGTGTCTATGTGCGACGCCGATGGCTTACCATCAGGTTATCGATCAGGTCGTTTGCTACCGTACCAAATAGAAGAGTGATGAAATGTCTTAAAGAAATTAAGAGAATAAAGTTCTTATTGCGGAATGCGGATGTTAATCAACCACAGACGTAATCATAGTACCAAAGTTGCAGTGATGTGGTTGATTGGGTAATATTAAAGCGAATATTGTCAATGACAGTATTTTTCCATATGATTGCCATTTTACTCAAATGAGTTTCAAATCTTCTTTACAATTTGAAAATTCTGATCAAAAGTAAACTTACCTTTAACTGCTTCTTTTTTTACCAGGCGCAAAAAAAATCCTCTTAGGGCTGATTTTTTAATGGTTAGATAAAAGTTACCTAGGGATTAATTATGATGTTGTCGCGTCAGAAAGTTTGTATAAGACAGTGACAATAACAATTTTATTCCTCAAATAACATTTATCTGACTATTGAAAGATCAGCCCTTACACGAAGAAAGAGCTTTAAGAAATCGTTGTACTTAAGTGACTAAAATGAACCAGTTACAAATGACAAGGGTTTTTTTCTAATCCTCACGAGGGACCCACAGGACCATATTAACCAAACAATAGTATTAAGACCACATAAATCTTTTGATCGTTCACTTCAATGTTTTTTTAACCAATCGCAATACGGGCGATGCCGTTCATATTATGTTCCAATTTATCAGAACGTTCTCCGATTGACGACTTTAATGAAAAATGGTACTTATTAATAAAATATATAATAAAAAAATAAAAAAGGTTAGTCTAGAATATTTACTTATTAATAAAAATATTATAAAAAAATAAAAAAGGTTAGTCAAGAATATAGATACAATTTTGCTTGAAGCTATAACAAATCCAGAATATTAGGTGCCTGAACTAGGAAATCCTGTATGAGTCTTGTATTTCAGGCGAGGATTGGTTAAAAAATAGTACCTACGAGTACACACCAATCAGGTACTAGTTTTTGTCGACTCCGTTCGCTTGGGATAGATCCTGCTGATTTTTGTTATAAAATCTATCGTATGTCCTTTCACGAGTTTTAAACTATGTCTGTACCAAATTTCGCAGAAATCGGTTCAGTAGTTTAGGCGTGAAGGAAAGACAGACAGGCAGAGTTACTTTCGCATTTATACTATTAGTTTGGATTATCTAAAAGTTGTTTTTTATCGTCATTTCTCATTAAGGCAATTAAAATTATGTGAAAGTAAGTAATTGTTATTCCCTTTAATAGTTGTTCCGATAAGACAGGTTGTTGTTCGTAAGTTAAACATTAAAAATCTTCAAGTAAATTTTTTTTTTTTTGTTATTTTTTTATAGATATTTTTCTTTTTTTTGATCTTGGAATTATCAAATCAAAGAGTTTGCGGTACCTTATTGCGATAGACCCGCGACCCTGACTGAACATCGGTCCTCTTGGGCCCCGTCTGTAGTGGTCTGTGGCCATATAGAAGTGAGATGAGGGAACTCTTTAGACATTCCTAGTCAAGTATAGGATTAGAAACTTAAAACAAAAATAAACTGTTAAATATGATTGTGGGTAATGAATAAAGAACTTATCTATACTTAATATTATAAAGAGGTAGGTGGTGGGGGTAATCTTTGGAACCACTGGTCGGAATTCCAAAATTGTTTCACTGATAGATAGCTACAATGTTCCTGAGTGCTATAAGCTATAAAACATCACGCTACGATTAAATGGAGCCAAACAGCGGGTGAAACCACGCGAGAGTAGCTATAGTCCATTATAAACAAGGAATTGAACAGTGTTATTGTATATAGGTATATGGCTAATAAGAAAGCATTTATTAATCACATAATTAGTATTTTATTTAAACAGAAACGTAACTAAACGTCTGTATAAATGACTTTATTTGTATTTTAATATGTAATGTAAGGTTACATTTTGCTAATAGGTATCAATTACGTTTAGGTAATGGTACTTTTATAGCTTTTATTACATACTTTTTTAATATAACGAACAAACATTTTTATGTTGACTAGGACTCTTTGATATGTTCATTTAATTTTATACATAAGTACATTAATAAACAGACACAAATTAATTTTGTGTCTGTTTATTAATGTATTAGTACTTAAAATAAAGGTTTCCATTTGCTAGGTATCGCGAATTGGCGTACCTAATGAGTATCAACTTTTGTAATTTTTTTTAAAGTAGGTAATGGGTGTACCATTTTCCTTTGACGACTGATTCCGTTTGTTGAATTTAGTCCTGAATTATACAATCGACGTTATGATCAAAACAGCATCGCTTAAATTCCAACCTGCGTATTTTGTAACTAAAAACTCTCGTCGAGGCCATCAGAAGCCGCACATAAAATTCACAGAATAAATATAGAATCGTATAAGACGAAAGTTTACAAACACAGGTTGGATTGCCGCCAATTTTTGACAGAACGCATAGTTATCGTGGCATTCGTGAGCTTAGGTCGATAGTTATAGATGTTTCGAAGCAAAATATTGAGGTACAAAGTAAAACGGAATGCTGCGAGAGATTTATCGGTAGTTCTTTGAATTAGGTTTTATTTCTAACCGTTTTAAAAGACATTGTTGTTTACGATACTTATTAAATCACAACATTGTTTTGAAATTAGAACAGCACGTTTTTATTGTTTTGTTTTTAGAATAAATAGCCCGCTTTTTTATAATACTAAGGAGTTACCAGTGGTACCAATGAAAAAAAAACTGTGCGGCAAATTCAATTCACGTGCGAAGAAAGAAACAAGTTCGTAATTCACGGTTTTAATACGTTGTTGTTTTTGGGT